CAACATAATAATTTTGTGACACTGTGATCACAATATTTTCTCTCATAAGAACCCACTCCCCAATGCCATTAGTTAACCACATGGTTATTATATTTAGCTTGATTCTCTATAAATGCCATTATAACACCTGTGGTTTCCCTCATTAAAAATTGAAATGGATGGGGTCAGAGGTTGAAAGGGCAGCATATGCGCTATGAAAGAACTAGTTAACATAGCTATTATATTGGTGCACTGGTAAATCTCTTTTCTATTCATCAGATGATTAGTTCAATCAATATTTATTCCTCTATGCTCCCTTTGTCTTGTGCTACAAAGGAGACATCCTTCAAATTCATAGCATAAGCCTTGTTATCTATGAATTTGTTGCTTAATTTGAGAGGGAAAATTTTATTTATTTGGCAGTCCTAAATTCTTTGGTTCCTTTTCCCTCTAATTGTCATTAGGTAGCATAATGGAGTTTTGTGTAGATTATTTATAAATAAATGCTATTAACAGTTTCTTTTTTATGCAACTGAAGTAACACATGTATTCATGCCTTCTTTTTAAATGCTCTGAAAAGTTGTTTCTGTTTCTCTAAATATGTTTGAATTTGGAAGTCTGGATTGTGAAAGCAAAGATAAGAATGATTTTCTCTCTCAAATATTCATTCTTCTTGTCTGAGTGGGTGGTTATAGGCACATACATATACATATTGTGTATCAGTGTGTATCAACAGACGCCTCCAAAGACTGCTATTATCTGCTAGGGATTCTGTTAAGTCAGAGATTCTGTTCAAAGTAAGATAAATATTTGCAAGAAGCTGTAATTGGAAGATGATTACAAAATTACAGGAATAATACTTTATGTGTAGAGTGCTCACTTTATCAAAGGTCATTATTCATTACATTAAAAAAGATTTATTTCATTGGTCTACTTAATTTCTGTCCCTTATTATCTAAGAATGGAAGGAATAGTGAAACTACAGCTAAGATTTAAAAAGCCTTATATTAATTATTAAGTAAAATGTCCATTCTTAATATTAACTTTTCTGTGTATTTTAACATCACAATAAAATGTTTTGTTAATGTCAATTACATAAAATTAATGCAATATAATATAAAGCCTTTTTTGTCTTTATTGAATAGACACAGAAATGATTTAGTCTTCAGAAATTCTCATCATAATACTAGAATGATAAAAATATATATAATTTAAGTCATCTCAATCACTAATAACTTTTGCACTAATAACATATGTATTCATAACTTCAATTTGTTTTAATCAGGCCAAAATTTGATGGCCTTAACTTTGGCGTTAATTCTTGAATTTCTTCATGTAATTATCTGCAAGGCTTAGATTTCTCCAAGGGACAGTGGCATTGCTGTTATTGTTCACAATTTAAAACCTCGCTTCATTTGTAAATTTTTAGGACACCAGCATATATAGAATTTTAAAACTTGATTATCTACTAGAATAATTTTTAAGTCTATATTAATTGGATGCTATAACATGTACTTTATATAAGAGGTATATTATGCATTGCAATGAAAAAAATCTAGCAAATGCATTGTGATTCACACTTTTACTTTTTAAGACTATATAATGAAAAGTATAAAAACCACACATAAAGCTGAAAAAAAAGTTTTACTCATCTTTTACGTAGGAAAATTTCCTGTATTGAACCATTTAAAAATCCTGGTGATAATTCTGTATGTGCTACTTTTAGAAAAAGAAGTATATATTATTATACAGTTGGAATGCCATATTCATGAAGACCAACCCTGAAGCTTAATATTTTCTTGGTGTTGAAAAATTTTTGTTGCTGTAAAATTAAGTTTCATGAGTATGAAGCATTTAAACTTAAAATACAATGTATTTGCATTACATATACACATGAATAGTTGCTTTTAAGGTTGTAAATAGTTTAGTATCTAACAAATTGTTACCAAAATAAGTAAATGTGGGCATTTCTTTTGAGTATAAAATAAAAGTGTTTTTATGTTAAGGTAAAATGTCACATAAACCACTTTAATAATGATGTGAGAAATCCTTCAAGGGTTTTATAAACAGTATAGCAAATTATACTGTTGTGGATGGAAAATCCAGGACTTGTGAGTTTTAAATGAATGCTACAAAGGGGTTTTAATCTTGTGTCCCCCATGTTTATAAAGCCCGCTGCTTAAAGTTCTCCCTTTCTGTTTCCATCCTGCTTTCCAGTTTCTGATTATCTGAAAATATAGGAAAGTGAAAAGTCTTAAAGGTACTAATATGTACCCCAGAGGTCCAGGATGTCAAGCACCTCTATGTCAAAATACTTGTTATAAATTCACTCAGGATGTTGGGGGTGGGGGAAGGAGAGAGTCCCAAGATGTAACCACCTAAGAAAAAAAAACATTTTTTTTCTGGTGAAATATGTTTTCAACAATACTTGAAATATAGCTTTAGGATTTTTCTTTGAACTGTTTGAATGTTTGCTTTTCTTGGATTATAAAGACAGTTTACTAATAATTATTTAATGAACAATTGCTAATGGCTACAGACAGAAATGTCCTTCCAGCAATGCTTTTTTAATTGTAGGAAGTGGAATGTTGGTTAGAAATATTTAATTGGAATTTCTGGAAGAAATTAAGATCTAGAACAAGTCTAGGAAATTTAAAGCCCTGGCCAGCAGGACATTCAGAGCTCCAGACTTCCCAAGGGTTGCAATACTTCTGAGAGCAAGCTGCTTTTTTCTAAAGTTAGCAGTTTATAAAAATTAACTACCTGAAAAGAATAGCTGAAAGCCAGACTTTAGAAATGTCAAACCCTATCCTTGCTTACAGCAAGCGTAAAACCAGATTTCTAATCCCAGGGAGCCACAATCACCTATTGATTGCCGCGACATCTGTGCCCCTGTTTTTGGAAGCAGGGTTTTCTGCGGAGGCAGGGCTGAAAAATCCGACCATTTCAGTGTCCCTGTGTAATAAACAGCTGGTAGGCTTCCCAGCGAGGAGTCCTGAAATCCACACCTCGGCTCACTTGTTTCTCACCTATGGTCCGACCCAATTAGAAGTCCTCCCTTCCGCATTCAGAAGTTACCCTTTTCAGGAAAGCAATCTAGGACGCAGCATCTCTAGACCTCATGTAGTAGGTACCCTCTAGCAGACAAAGGGTGAAAGCCTTTGTGGCCACCAAATACAGTCTTCTCCGCCCCAGGCCAGCCCAGAGTAAGCCACAGCGCTGGGGACAGGACTCGGTTCACCCGTGGGGTAGGACAGCGACCTAAAGCTCAGAGTCTCTTAACCCCTTTCTTACCCCAGAGCTTCCCGCGGGATAAAGTCTCTTAACTCTCCTAGATGGCGGGGGCGGGGGCGGGGGCGGGGTGGAGGCTGGGGGTCAGAGTGGGTTCGCTGGGTAGGTCCCTAAGGCGATCACTCGATCCTGGACCAAGTTTGCACCGCGCCAAATGCCCCGACTCAGTAGAGTTGCCAAATGCAAATCGTGGAGAGGAGGCTGAGGCACAGACAGGGACGACCGGGGGATAGAGGACGAGTGTGTGCGCGCGCGTGTCTGAGCGTGCGCGCTTGTGGTGTGTTTGGGGAAAGGGAGTGGGCAGACTGGAAAGCTGAGTTCGAAAACCGCCCCCTCCCCCAAGGAGCCCAGGCACAAGAGAAAGTTGATTCGTTTCCGCTCTCGCTGGTCAAGTTCACACTCAGGTTCAGCCTGTGACTCCCACAAGACTTCTGAGTAGCCTGGCCCCTTCTCAGTCCTTAAAACAATCAGCGCTGTTGGCGTGGGAGGGTACAGTCTGTAGGAAATGCGCAGAGATGACAGGGGAGAGACAGTACAGTGTAACTCAAGGAGAGTCCTGGAGGTAGAGAGGACTTTCACACATTTTAAGGTTGATTTTCCTCCAGCACATACCCCCGGGCCCCTTGAGAGCCGTCTTAAGTTAGATCCCTCTGGGACTAGGGGTGGGAAGGTGGGCTTCCACTGCTTTCTCAAGGTGAGCAGGAGGCAGCACCTTCAAACTTCCTGAGTCCCCCAAGTGGGCACCTTGGCCAATCTGGACTGTCACTGGCAAATACTCCTTCAGGAGTAGGGCGATCAAGCTGCAGCCTACTCTTGTCCCACACTGTTTTCTACAATTTAGGGGACAGTGAGTGGCTTTTGCACCCCAGGTCCTAGAGCCCTGTTGGAGCTGGGGGGGGGGGTGTAGTTTCAGGCCTTCATTCAGAATATAAGAACCTAGCCATGGGAGGAATATTGATTGGAAGCAGAGAAGTAAGAGCTGGAGGAACTCAGTGCCCCAGAGAGTAGGGGAAACTGAAAGGAGAGAGGTTGGTGGTGAGACAGGACAGAAAAAGAAAAACAAAGACTAGGATGTCGCCTACTTAAAGGGTCTGCACTCTCCAATCACCTATGTATAGGTTCATGAAAGAATCTGGTTAGTGAAACCCCCAACCAGGACACTAAACAGGAACCAGCTCGCACTCAACGGCCCCCACCACCTGTGTGTGGGTCATTCAAGACCATGTCACTAGGATGTCCCCGCCCCTTAGCTTCAGCTGCCTCCCTGCCACCCACCTCCTTGGACGGCCTCTCTGTTCCTCTTCTTTCCTTCTCCTGCCACGTCCCAGCGCCTAGCTGGCTAAACCCAGTTTCTGCCTTAGCGTCCAGGTTCGGGGTTCACTTCCAGCGGAGCAGGAGGGAACATGCCCGCTGCCCCCTCCCTACGCTCCTAAAGAGGTGTTGGAAGTGTGGGTGAGAGGTGGACACAGGCGAGTGGAAGGTGATGAGTGTTTGTAGCCCAACTCTCCCAAGTTCTTCTTGGCTAGTCCACCTGTCGCGTGGGATCAGGGATGTAGGAAGGTCTGGAACCGGCCGTTTCCAACTTTCTGTTGCCCGGGCCCAGAGAGACAGGCGAAGCAGAGAGGAGAGCTTCCCCACCCCCGCCGCCACCGCCCCGTCGCAAAGAAGGCAGAGTGGCTAGGAGGAAAACCAGGGGTGGGGGTGTGGGGCGGGTGCTCAGAGGCTTGCACTTATCCCCACGGCACGCGGGCACCCGGCCCGCTCTCCGAGAAAAGAGTGAAGTGGCCAAGCCGAAAGTGGAGGAAAGTGGGTCTGGGCACAGCGCGCAGGAAACCTGAACGTCCCGGCATCGAAGGGGACAAGATAAAGTGATCCCTAAAGCAGGTCAGGCCATCCGTCCCGAGAGCCCAAAGTGCAGCCGGAGCAGGTGTTCTCCCCTGTCTCACGCGCGTCACCCCACAGCCGCCATCTCGCCCAGGGGACCTGCCACAGCAGTCGCTGCCGTGGGTCCTTGCCCAAGGTTCACCCTGCACCGCCTCCCGCAGCGGCCCTTTGACCAAGGAGCCTTCCCCGCTGCGGGCAGCGCGGGCTTTTATCCTGTGGAACTTTCTCCGCAAAACTTTTTCAGGATGGTGCTCGCCCTTGGGCGGCGCAGGCTCGGGCACGCGGACCTGGCCAGGGCGCAGCTCCCGCGCGAGGGACGCGCGCAGGGGACGATCCCGGAATCTGCGTCCAGCCCCACGACACTGCTCCCTCTGCCTACCACTCCTACGAAGGGACAGGTCGGCTGACCTGGACGCTGGGGGCCTCGTAACCTGGAGTGTGTGTATCCGTCCCGACGCCTGCCCGTGCGCCCCGTGAGCCCAACCCGGCCGGCGACCGCCGCGCACTCGGCGCGGCTAGCGGCTTCTGCCCAGAGGCATCCTTATCCCGTCTCTCCTTCCAACCGGCGCTACAATCCGCAGCCGAGAGTGACACCCCAAAACAGTCCAGTACAACTCAAGGACTGGGAGGAAGCAACTAGAGTCGTCCCACTCTCCCCAAAGCGCCCTTCCGCGTCCCTCCGGAACTCCCGGGAGGCATCAACACCTTCCCACAACTTTCTACGCCCAGGCCGTACGCAGCCCACCTGCGAACGCGAACTCCGGAACTGCGCCCCGCCAACCTCTTTCCTCTTCGGCTGGGTGCGCCACCCCACCCCCCAGCCCCCATTTACCATCTGGCTTGAGTTGGCCGGACCGGGGAGACACGGCGGGCTCGCTTACCTCGCATGGTGTAGCCGCTCTCCCGCTCCGCGTAGTCATGTAGGTGCTCCCAGCCCGAACCCGGAGAGCCCAAAAATCCCGCTCAGCACGAGTGAAGAAGGTAGACGGTGAAGAGCTGCTCTGCCGAGAAAACCATCCCTTTAGGTGGACGCCGTGGCCGCAGGGTGACGTTTGCCGCCGCCGCCGCCGCTGTGTTAACAGTTTTGATGATGGTGGTGGTGGTGACTGTTCTGATGGTTGTTTGGTTGTTTGTTTTCAGGAAGGGTGAAAAAAAAAATGTGCGTGCTGGCTGGCTGGCTGGTGCCTGGGTTTTGTTTTGCTATTTTCTTTTTTCTTTCTCTTCAGTGCGCTTGCTTTTTAAAAACCGCCACCGCCTCCGGCTCAGAAGATTTCTTTTGTGATCACTTGGACTGAGGAGGAGGAGGAAGGGCAGCAGCAGGAGCAGGAGTTGGTGGTGGTTTTGTTAGTTACAAAGAAGAGGGAGAAGGAGCAAGGGGAAAAAAAGGAAACAGAAAAGGAAGAAAGGCGGTGTGGATGGCAGAGCATGTGCGTTTTCACATGACATCTGTGCCTGTTAGCGGATCCACAACGTGAATTTTCACTGTTCAGTTACAGGGAGGAAGGGAGCGAGAGAGAAAGAGAGAGGAGAGAGATGGAGAGAGAGAGTCGAGAAGGGGCTTATACGCGAGGGCGGGTTTGGCTGGGACTTCCAGGCCCCGCCTCCTGTCAGCGCCGCCGCCAATCAGCGCCCGGCATCTCTTGGAAGGGCTGGGACCACGGGAGACCCGCTTGAAGGCGAGGTGAGAGGAGGGGGTTAGGACACTGGAGCCTAAGGCGGCGGGGGCTGGAACTGGGCAGTAGAGACTGTCCGAACTGGGTGGAGGAGGAGGAGAAGGGCCGATAGACGGGGGCAGATCTGCAGGTGACATTCACGTCCCACTCCAGGAGGAGGGAGGGAGTACTGACTAATCCTCATAGTCCTTGGAGGGGAGAGGCTCGGGGCTCTCTGGGTCCCAGATTGCTTCCCTCTCTTGCAAAACCTGTGAACCCCGGATTGTTAGTTTTGAATTTATGGCTGACCTTCGCAGAGTCCATTTTCGGTAAACTCCGTGTGCCTGGCGGGGGTTTCCTAGGGCGGGACGCTTCAGTTTTAGTGCCAGAATCAACTTTCATCACTTAGAGCACAACTAAAGTGCAATCCCATGCAAGTAGCCGTCCTCTTCCTTTAACACCATCTTTTACACGCTTCCTGCCTCAGTCCTAAAAAATAAATAAATACATAAACAAGACAATGAGATCTCTTCTGCCTTTTAAAATAATCTTACAAAATGTCCGTGCTTTCTTTCATAGAAGAAATTGATTTTATTAGCATTTGTAGTTGCTATTTAACTAGCGTTGGGCCACAGGACTCAAGGATAAGAGCCCCAGGTAGCAGTGTGGCTACCTTAAGTGATGTAAGGTAAAAGGTTGATGCTACAAGGTATGATTGTGTGGTGCTACTGGTGAAGGTGCAGGGCTTTAGCGGGGAGGAACTAATTATTCTAGTTGCTACTAGAAGACGTTTGTCTAGAGGGGTCTGACACTTATAAACGTAGGTAGGTGTTGTATTCCTTCAGTAAAAATTGTCCTCTAGGACCACTTATTTGTATTGTGGTAAAAATCTGTTATTAGAAAAGAACAGAAAACTTCCTTTTCTTTCTTTCTTTCTTTTGTTTTGTTTTGTGTTGGAGTAGTTTCAGGTGAAGAACTGTTCCTTTTCAAGTTTTCTCATCTTATTGGGCATATTAAACAGATGATCACATCTGCTTCCCATAGTGAAACTGAAAGTCGCTCAGTCCTGTTGGACTCTTTGCGACCCCATGGACTGACTGTACCATGGAATTCTTCAGGCCAGAATACTGGAGTGGGTAGCCATTCCCTTCTCCAGGGCATCTTCCCAGCCCAGGGATGGAACCCAGGTCTCCCGCATTGCAGGCAGGTTCTTTATCAGCTGAGCCACTAGGGAATTTCTTAAATACTTTGATTAATTGATCATTCCAAAAGACGGAGAGGTGAAAAAAATTTGCCTTATCTACTCAATTTTAAGGCATTAAGGCTTCTACTCTATAGCATACCTGTTGGCAAGAGCAGGCCACATCATTGTTTAGATATCTGAATAATTTGATTATTACTAGTATTTATTTATGTCATGTAACACAAAGTGCAATGTAGAATTTGGCAATTATTTAGTTAAATAAATCACCCTAGTCTGCCAAGTAGTCTCCCCACTCCTTTAAATAAAAATGGATTACTTTCTGAATCTTCACTAGTGTTAAATTAAATCAGCCCTGCTGTATGCCCTTCCATTTGCAAGCCAATGTGTAATTTAGGAAAATTTTAGTATTAAGAGTGAAAGTTGATTGAGTCTTTAATTAAATGAAATGAACAAAAGGAAGTTACTGTTCAGAATAGTTATTCCCTTATAAGTACCTTTCCCCTAGATTTGTAATTGACACAGTAGTTAATCTTTTAAGATAATATTTAAGGCTCCCTAGTTTTATCATTTTTAATCAAGTAAAATATATTCATCATAACTACATTAAAGCGGTACTAAGTTATGCCTAATTTAGTTGCTTCATTAAAAATTACTGAATATAAAATAGTCAAGAAACAAATTGTGACTACATCATTTTAATTTTATGTGCTTTAAGCACAGACACAGGAATATTGAAAATTCCAAAGCCTTTGTAAATACTATAATTCTTATTGTTGTCATTGTTTTAGATTCTATTTCTCATTAAAGAGGAATTTCAAAATTCAAGAATTTTAACTCTTTTATCTAGTCCTAAATTTCTAAACATTTATTGAATATTGAAATTTCTTTTGACTGCTATAGCATCTGTAATTATTTACAAAGATAGTCAAAACATATATTAAAAATATTTTTTTCCTCCTCCTACATATTTTTATACATCTTTTGCTTTGTGGGTTAACAAGGCATTCTTTTGCTTAGAACTATATCACATATTTATTAGTCCTCCCTGAACACTTTTGAAAAGTTGTTAATTAGAAATAAAAACAATTATGTTAAATCATTTTTCAAAACTATATGTATATTATATATTGGTAGTGCAAAAGTAACTTATTTTCTCTTTTAGAGTGGAGTAAATGTTCACGGTTCATTATAATGTGGTGATCTGGGATATTCTGTATCTTCCTAAAAATTTAAAAACTTAGTTCTTGAGTATTTCTAGTAACTTTCAAATTGTTTCAAGTGAATGGAACCTATTTATGTAAAATAAATATTCAGATTTAAATGAAAGAAATCACATCTTCCCAGGAAGTCACAAAAGACTTATGTATAATCTGTTTTTGTAACCTATCTGCCAGCAAATATCCATATTTCAAGTGGCATAGTAATACAGTAATATAATATCCTTGATCACATGAAGTTCTGTGTCAATAATTTTACTTGAGTGATTACGGAACTGCCTAGATTTCTATAAGCTTTAAACTTTACTTTTGGCTCTGGGCCTGAAGGATGTTCCTAGTTGATAGCTAAATTTTGATGAATTTAAATGATAATCACTAAGTCATATAGATGGCACTCAATCTCAAGAAGTGATATAATTTAATTCAGGTTGCCTGCTTACCTGCTTGTCCACATATCACCACCCCATAAGGTTTAGCTGTATGCCCATGGAGAAATAAAGACGTGAAATATCCTGATAGATGCGAAGGTTTAATATGAGCCAGCCAGTTAGGGTGAGCATGGCCTTTAGTGCTACAGTATTTCAATCCTAAAGTGCTCAAACCCAAATTGAAAGGAATGGTTTACTATATTATGAGCAGGTCAGTCTATATATATAGAGAGAGACTACTTTAAATCACTGTGAATCTTGGGGGGATATTGGCAACAATGATAATGATATTACACTTAGAATGACTGAAAGACTGGATGTTTTTAGCCTGGTTTAGGGAAGCTGTGTGGCTGTGAGTTGAAAAAGAAGTATAAAGCTGCCTTTAAATATTGGAAAAGCCAGAAAAAAATATAAGAATTTTTAATGTTTCAACCTATTAAAAATGGAAAACGTTAAAAAAAAAATGGAAAAGGTGAAGTATTGAGTTCCCTGTTGCTAAAGGAATTTGAGAAAAGACTGAATGAAAGACTGGTTAAAAATGCTCAACTATACAGACATCTGTACTAGGCTAAAAATTGATTGTCCCCATTAGCTCCAGTTTATTCCGTAACTCTTAAGTACATTCACAGGAAGGCAGCAACCTCCACCCCAGTAGCTGCAGCAGAGCTGTGCTTCCTACTGGGAATGTAGGCTCCTTGAGAGCAGGGGCCAGAATTACCCTGGGGTTTGGAAGAGCTGCTGGTACTTTATATACACATAAATACACATTTGATTTTTATATTTGGCTGTGCTGGGGTCTTCCTTGTGGCACAGGCTTTTTGCTAGTTGCAGTGAGCAGGGGCTTCTCTCCAGTTGCAGTGCCTGGGCTTCCATTGCGATGGGTTCTCTTGTTGTGGTGCATGGGCTCTAGCTATTCTGCAGCATGTGGGATCTTCCTGGACCAGGGACTGAATTTGTCTCCTGCATTGGCAGGCAGATCTTAACCACTGGACATCCAGGGAAATCCTCCTGGTACTTTATGGGGGATTTTTTTCCCCCTGCTGTGCGGTGCTCAGTCATATGTATCTGACTCTTTGTGACTCCATGGTCTGTAGCCCATTGGGTTCCTCTGTTCATGGAATTTTCCAGGCAAGAATACTGGAGCAGGTTGCCATTTCCCACTCCAGGGGGATCTTCCTGACCCAGGGATTGATGCCCCGTGTCCTGCATTGGCAGGTGGATTCTTTACCATTGCACCATCTGGGAAACCCTTTATAGGTGCTCGGTGATTATTGGTTGAATGAATCCTTTTTATTCTTTTTCCATTGGATGTGGACCAGAAATGCAGCAAAGACCTCAATAAGATTTCTTCTTTCTTAGTCTCTACTAAATAGGAGAGAGAGAAGAG